TTTAGCAGCTGAAATTATACAAGATATATATCTAGCCTCCAAGGACTCTTAAGACTCGTATGCTAATATTGCATTATCCAAACATAAAATTTCGAGCTCTGAAGCTACAAACAAGAACGCATGTTACAATTCAATAAGTATTTGTTGTTTATTATACCTTCTATTTCGTAAATTATTTCGACTCCAAGGTAGTTCCAAGCCTAATCGTCCCCATTTCCGCGTCGAGGCCATAAGATTGTTTCAGCGAACTGGATGGTAACAGTTTTTGCGGAAAACTTGTTTTGAAATAAACCTGTCAGTTTATGCAAAGTATGTTGCATAGTCTGGTTAGTTGTCGCACGAATGCAATTCCTAGGTCAATTCACCTGTAGACTCGCTCATGACTTCGAGTTTAAACACATATTGTGTATGTGTAGACGATAATCAATATGTCGAGAGTGGATAAATGTGTATGTTTGTTGTCCTATACTGTGACACTTTTGCATCATAATATACCGTTGTACATTTCAATCGACTCTGGTTACTGCAGTAGGCTTCCTGTCTATACTGTATAGCAAAGTTTAGTCGAATTGTCCTTCAATAAGACATACAGTAGGCGAAAGAGCATCACGAGGAGAGTGTTTATATTGATATTCCATTTAAGTTATCATTCATGATGGTGGAATGGTTGGAGCATGAAATGGCTACAGTTTAGATTATACTGGTTAAAGCAGTTGTATAATAAAAATGGTGATTGAATGTCTAGTTTACGGTAATTTAACTGTATTCAAAATTGATAATCAAAAGATTTATGTGTTATGAGATTTGGTTTGTAATCTTTCTATCTATACTACAGGGTTATTACAAATGATGTTCCTGATTTTGATTATAAATATTACTGGGTCAATTTGTTTCAAGACTATTTTAGTTGGTTCCATTGGAAAGAAAAACTCACAAAGTTTCATTTACATTGGTTTGGGTGCATATCAGCTGTTTGTCAAGTCAATTGTTGTAAGTGTTGTGTAATGGCTGAATTTGAAGGCAGGACAGCTTTTTGCCAGTTGGAATATTACATTAACCAATCTGTTATTAGTGTGCAACGACACTTTAGAACCAGGTTTAACGATGATCCCCCTAGTAACCACTATATTGGCAAGTGATACTTGAAATTTAAGAGAAATGGCTGCATTTGAATGTTACTTGTAGTAGGGCTGAACTTAACAATGTGCTGCCTGAGATATGAAACGAGCTCGGTGGTCCGAATAATGACACACCCCTGAACTGCAAGACAAGATCTCCGGACATCACCCCCTGATTTTTTTCTTGTGGGGATACATCAAAGATAAGGCGTACACATCACCATTATCAGATAGCATACTTGAGATCCAGCAACGGATTACCAATGCTATCGAAACAATAGACCTGGACACACTTTTCAAGGTCTAGCAAGAGCTTGACTACATTATTGACATCTGTCGTACCACAAGGGGTTCCCGTATCAAGCATTTACAGTTCTGTGTGTCTGTGTCGAAACTTTTTGAGTTTTTAAAAAATTGTAACCATTTTAATTATTTGCATAACAAATAAAACTATATTTTATGTATGTATGAAATCATGAACATCATTTGTAATAACCCTGTATTATAAAGAAGAGGTGGTGTCTGTCTGTGTGTTTGTATGATAATCTCAAAAACTACTGATCGGACTGGGCTCAAATTGCACACAAATGAAGCTACAGCTCGAAGGATACATATAGAACTATTTCCGCTTCGATATTGTCCTAGGGCTCTGCCCCACGGGCTTTCAGAAATTTTAGGTGAGAGATGTAAAGGTAAATATTGATTGATGGTATCCATGGTAACAAAGAACGCATCTACAAAGCTTAAAAATGTAAACAAGCAGAACGAAATGTCATATCAAGTTAATACAGTAATACAGTAATAACATACAGCTATTACAGTAATAAGTAATACAGTTCAATTTTGTTTCAAAATAAAATGATAGGAGTGAAACCATTTTTAAGCAATTTACAAAGAACCAACATTGTTTCTTTTGCATACTGACCCCGTTGCAAGGCACGGGTGTAGCTGCTAGTCCGGAATAAAACTGAAAATAACTACTTCAACTACTAATTGTAGGTGACATATTGGCTTTCAAACACGTAAATCTAACCTCAGTTCCCACACACATGGGATTACACAAGCATATAAAAGGTTGGTCACAACAACACTTTTTATTTTTGCATGGGTCCTCTCTTGATTGCAGAAGCCTTGTCAAATTTGTGACGAAATCCCAAAAATATCTATTCAAAGTTTTGTGGGAATCCAATAAATGTTTCAATCGAACTCTGCTCGAGAGAAAGAGTGAACCAAACGTGCAGCGGAGCACATCATGACTTGCAGACAATGAAAACTGTGCACTGATCCGGATTGTGAGGATAGCTGGGTGCTATTGTTCTACATCGGATGCTATTATAGAGCGTTTAAAAGACACATAATGTTGTTACCACAAATTTAAAAACTTCGTAACAAAAGAAACATAGTTTTTTTTTTAAATTATGTTCGGTGTATGTTGCCGATCTATGAGCTTATCGCCATTGAGCTCTGCTAGATGTATAAAGAAACAGTCAGAGGAAGCAAAGATTATTTAGATGAAATCTGTCATAGAATATTTTAAAACGTGGAAACAAAATTAAAATACAGCCAAAATTTAATTTACGACTCCATTTACGTAGCAGTTCACAGTTCACAGTTCACAGTTCAAAAATCTTTATTTTCTGCATAAGATATAGATACAAATACTCCCATGAACCACGCAGGGTTCGTGCGGGAAAAAATACATTATGTTTAATACAGAATAGCTGTGCAGTGTAAATACGAATACAGACTCTAAAAGAAAAATCACTAGATAATTGTATGTAGTGCTCATGTAAAATCTTCACTAAGCCCCCGCCCCCACAATACTGACTACATGTTGTGTATACATTGTGTACAATGTAGACAACAGTAGTGACTGTCTAGCACGGTGTACACAAGGAAGGTCGAGTGATATTAACGACATGGTGGCTTGTCGTGGTGATACATCATACACAGGGCGAGTGTCACACTCAACCCTCACTACATGTTGTGTATACATTGTGTACAATGTAGGTAGACAACAGTAGTGACTGTCTAGCACGGTGTACACAAGGAAGGTCGAGTGATATTAACGACATGGTGGCTTGTCGTGGTGATACATCATACATAGGTCGAGTGTCACACTCAACCCTCACTACAAGTTGTGTATACATTGTGTACAATGTAGACAACAGTAGTGACTGTCTAGCACGTTGTACACAAGGAAGGTCGAGTGATATTAACGACATGGTGGCTTGTCGTGGTGATACATCATACACAGGTCGAGTGTCACACTCAACCCTCACTACAAGTTGTGTATACATTGTGTACAATGTAGACAACAGTAGTGACTGTCTAGCACGTTGTACACAAGAAAGGTCGAGTGATATTAACGACATGGTGGCTTGTCGTGGTGATACATCATACACAGGTCGAGTATCCCACTCAACCCTCACTACATGTTGTGTATACATTGTGTACAATGTAGACAACAGTAGTGACTGTCTAGCACGTTGTACACAAGGAAGGTCGAGTGATATTAACGACATGGTGGCTTGTCATGGTGATACATCATACACAGGTCGAGTGTCACACTCAACCCTCACTACAAGTTGTGTATACATTGTGTACAATGTAGACAGTACACAGTAGTGACTGTCTAGCACGTTGTACACAAGGAAGGTCGAGTGATATTAACGACATGGTGGCTTGTCGTGGTGATACATCATACACAGGTCGAGTATCCCACTCAACCCTCACTACATGTTGTGTATACATTGTGTACAATGTAGACAACAGTAGTGACTGTCTAGCACGTTGTACACAAGGAAGGTCGAGTGATATTAACGACATGGTGGCTTGTCGTGGTGATACATCATACACAGGTCGAGTGTCACACTCAACCCTCACTACAAGTTGTGTATACATTGTGTACAATGTAGACAACAGTAGTGACTGTCTAGCACGTTGTACACAAGGAAGGTCGAGTGATATTAACGACATGGTGGCTTGTCGTGGTGATACATCATACACAGGTCGAGTATCCCACTCAACCCTCACTACATGTTGTGTATACATTGTGTACAATGTAGACAACAGTAGTGACTGTCTAGCACGTTGTACACAAGGAAGGTCGAGTGATATTAACGACATGGTGGCTTGTCGTGGTGATACATCATACACAGGTCGAGTGTCACACTCAACCCTCACTACAAGTTGTGTATACATTGTGTACAATGTAGACAACAGTAGTGACTGTCTAGCACGTTGTACACAAGGAAGGTCGAGTGATATTAACGACATGGTGGCTTGTCGTGGTGATACATCATACACAGGTCGAGTATCCCACTCAACCCTCACTACATGTTGTGTATACATTGTGTACAATGTAGACAACAGTAGTGACTGTCTAGCACGTTGTACACAAGGAAGGTCGAGTGATATTAACGACATGGTGGCTTGTCGTGGTGATACATCATACACAGGTCGATTGTCACACTCAACCCTCACTACATGTTGTGTATACATTGTGTACAATGTAGACAACAGTAGTGACTGTCTAGCACGTTGTACACAAGGAAGGTCGAGTGATATTAACGACATGGTGGCTTGTCGTGGTGATACATCATACACAGGTCGAGTGTCACACTCAACCCTCACTACAAGTTGTGTATACATTGTGTACATTGTAGACAACAGTAGTGACTGTCTAGCACGGTGTACACAAGGAAGGTCGAGTGATATTAACGACATGGTGACTTGTCGTGGTGATACATCATACACAGGTCGAGTGTCACACTCAACCCTCACTACAAGTTGTGTATACATTGTGTACAATGTAGACAACTGTAGTGACTGTCTAGTCTAGCACGGTGTACACAAGGAAGGTCGAGTGATATTAACGACATGGTGGCTTGTCGTGGTGATACATCATACACAGGTCGAGTGTCACACTCAACCCTCACTACAAGTTGTGTATACATTGTGTACAATGTAGACAACTGTAGTGACTGTCTAGCACGGTGTACACAAGGAAGGTCGAGTGATATTAACGACATGGTGGCTTGTCGTGGTGATACATCATACACAGGGCGAGTGTCACACTCAACCCTCACTATAAGTTGTGTATACATTGTGTACAATGTAGACAACAGTAGTGACTGTCTAGCACGGTGTACACAAGGAAGGTCGAGTGATATTAACGACATGGTGGCTTGTCGTGGTGATACATCATACACAGGGCGAGTGTCACACTCAACCCTCACTATAAGTTGTGTATACATTGTGTACAATGTAGACAACAGTAGTGACTGTCTAGCACGGTGTACACAAGGAAGGTCGAGTGATATTAACGACATGGTGGCTTGTCGTGGTGATACATCATACACAGGGCGAGTGTCACACTCAACCCTCACTATAAGTTGTGTATACATTGTGTACAATGTAGACAACAGTAGTGACTGTCTAGCACGGTGTACACAAGGAAGGTCGAGTGATATTAACGACATGGTGGCTTGTCGTGGTGATACATCATACACAGGGCGAGTGTCACACTCAACCCTCACTATAAGTTGTGTATACATTGTGTACAATGTAGACAACAGTAGTGACTGTCTAGCACGGTGTACACAAGGAAGGTCGAGTGATATTAACGACATGGTGGCTTGTCGTGGTGATACATCATACACAGGTCGAGTGTCACACTCAACCCTCACTACAAGTTGTGTATACATTGTGTACAATGTAGACAACAGTAGTGACTGTCTAGCACGTTGTACACAAGGAAGGCCGAGTGATATTAACGACATGGTGGCTTGTCGTGGTGATACATCATACACAGGTCGAGTGTCACACTCAACCCTCACTACAAGTTGTGTATACATTGTGTACAATGTAGACAACAGTAGTGACTGTCTAGCACGTTGTACACAAGGAAGGTCGAGTGATATTAACGACATGGTGGCTTGTCGTGGTGATACATCATACACAGGTCGAGTGTCACACTCAACCCTCACTACAAGTTGTGTATACATTGTGTACAATGTAGACAACAGTAGTGACTGTCTAGCACGGTGTACACAAGGAAGGTCGAGTGATATTAACGACATGGTGGCTTGTCGTGGTGATACATCATACACAGGTCGAGTGTCACACTCAACCCTCACTACAAGTTGTGTATACATTGTGTACAATGTAGACAACAGTAGTGACTGTCTAGCACGTTGTACACAAGGAAGGTCGAGTGATATTAACGACATGGTGGCTTGTCGTGGTGATACATCATACACAGGTCGAGTGTCACACTCAACCCTCACTACAAGTTGTGTATACATTGTGTACAATGTAGACAACAGTAGTGACTGTCTAGCACGTTGTACACAAGGAAGGTCGAGTGATATTAACGACATGGTGGCTTGTCGTGGTGATACATCATACACAGGTCGAGTGTCACACTCAACCCTCACTACAAGTTGTGTATACATTGTGTACAATGTAGACAACAGTAGTGACTGTCTAGCACGTTGTACACAAGGAAGGTCGAGTGATATTAACGAAATGGTGGCTTGTCGTGGTGATACATCATACACAGGTCGAGTGTCACACTCAACCCTCACTACATGTTGTGTATACATTGTGTACAATGTAGACAACAGTAGTGACTGTCTAGCACGTTGTACACAAGGAAGGTCGAGTGATATTAACGACATGGTGGCTTGTCGTGGTGATACATCATACACAGGTCGAGTGTCACACTCAACCCTCACTACAAGTTCTCTCCTCAAACCTTAACGGTGGTTATTCGTGGTGTAAGGTAGGTAATGAAAGTTTATCTCATTATTATTGACATTTTCGATATTTTAGAATAAAACTTTTTTATACAACTTTTGTATAAAAGTTTTTTTTTATACTTTTATTTAAATAACTTAGGAAATTTTCTACGACTGATTAGCTATTGGACAGTACTTCGGCTTTTTCAAAAAACCATATTCATCCTACGTCACGGTTTTGTTCACTCTTTTGAAGTATAACAGTCATAATTTTATAAAGTTTTTCAGTTTAGCTGTTAGTATTTGTACAATAAAGATAAACGAATAATATTACAAACGATCAGTCGTAAACAGAAAATTATAAAAATTATTTTTTATTTAAATGATCGTCCTATAATATTTTTTCCATCTTACTTAGGTACAGTACTAAGTATTTGTGCATTTAATAAGCTCGCTCGGATATGGGCGGTTAATTTTACCTTCAACGTTTGAAATTTTATTGGTGACACAGGTTGTACAGTCATCCTTTGTAACCAAGAACTCATCTCATTGTATTTTCTTAATCTTAACAATTACCATTTTCCAGCGCTAAGCTGTCAAAAGTGCAGCGGATACAACATTATTGTTGTATCGTTTTACTCCCAAATGCTAAGAGCTGTCATTAATCACGATAACAACTTTAATCATCTTATCAGTATTACCTATGACTCCCGAACCATCACCGTATCCTCCCTCAACCCCCGGGCGGTTCCATCAACCTGATGATCTCGGGACATAAAGAGCTGAGCTAACAACATCCGGGCCGCGGTAAAGGTTATTTGAGGGTCGCATTAGCAGCGTTCGCGTGCAGGAGTAATGACTCGCGGCCAGATGAGACAATCGGGTAATTATAATCAGTGACACATACGGGGACATCTCGGGTAATGGAGGCCTGGGAACCGCCGACCTGTCGCCTCCGAGGATCCGCCCCCCTGGCTGACTAGGCTGGGGAGTACCTCGGGTGTTGGTTACCTGTGGACTGTACAGCCTCTACATCTTCATAGGGTATGCAAAGATATTGGGGTAATATCGGGTAGTTGAGGCCTGGGAACCGCCGACCTGTCGTCTCCGGGGATGCGCCCCCCTGGCTGACTAGGCTGGGGCCCCTGGGGAGTACCTCAGGCGTTGGTTATCTGTGGACTGTACAGCCTCTACACCTCTACATCTTCATAGGGTATGCAAAGACAATGGGGTAATATCGAGTAATAAAGGTTTAGGAACTGCCGACCTGTCGCCTCCGGGGATCCGCCCCCCCTGGCTGACTAAGCTGTGGAGTACTTCGGGTGTTGGTTACTGTACCTGTGGACTGTACAGACTCTACATCTTCATAGGGCATGCAAAGTCACTGGGGTAATATCGGGTAATACAGGCTTGGGAACCACCAAACTGTCGCCTTCGGGGATCCGCCCCCCTGGCTGACTAGGCTGTGTATAACCTCGGGTGTTACCTTTTGATTTCACAGGCTCTATAAGTAAGATATTGGATGATATTTGAGGAATGTCGTCTAGAAGAGGCAGTGAACTATGCTCGGGGAACACCGCCACTGTCTGCGAAAGAAGTTGTTGAAGTTACCAGAAAACACTGCAAACCCCACGTATGTGTCACATTCGGCAAACAATGTATGCTAATTTCCACCGTGTTATGACCCTACTACGCTACTACTTATTGGAACACTATGCATGTTGCCATGCCACAAGATGTGGCATAAGGGTTCTTAACAGCCTTCATCATTCAGCCGAGTATTCACCGGACTACCGCCAAGTACCGCAGGTTCTCATTGTTTTGACATCTCCAGCAAGCTTCTCCAGTATTGTTTCCAACCCATAAACTCTTCACAGGTGGTTGTCCCGTGTAACTACCTGGCCAGTAGCTGTCACTGACTGCCACTGCGCACCGCAGATTCGCTTGTTCCTGTTCCTGCCTAGCCTGTAATTAGCCACCAGGAGCGCTCTAATCGCTCTGTTATCACCTGTCATTACGTTAAGTAACAACTAACAGACAGATGTCATCTTTAACGGACGCATTGCTCAATTGCTTACGTTTGTTGTGTGCGTTTTTCTACAAGTTATATTTGAGAAATGGGTCGAAAGTTTACCTTTTGGGGTTATCACCAAGTATACTTTGTATGACTCAAATTTTAAACACACTAATGATATTTCGGAACGTCATTTGACAAACGAAGTAGCGTTTTGGAGGCCAGGTCGGAAAATTACTATGGGATTTTATTTTCGAAATAGGAATATTTTTTTGCTTGGAAATAACAACCACACTATTAAGTATTGTTTAAATCTTCTATATTCTTGATTGTTACGAAAATCTTAATAAGGGTAGACATATAAATTTGATTATTTTTTATAAGTGGTGATTAGTGTTTCGCTGTGCCATTGTTTAGTTTGTTTTGAAGATCATAATTTCCATAATTCATAATTTGCCACCACAGGCAATAACTTACTCGTAAACGTAAAAAATAGAAAAAATCATTGTTGATAATTATTGACCGACTCACATTCTTAAAAGCACAATGTGGGGTGTTGAAAATTAGATTTTCTATTCTAAAATACAATTTGTTTCGTAGGAAATATTTTAAAAATCTTAAAAGCTGTATTTATATATTTAAACAATTTAATTACATTTCCACCCGCACAGACGGAGAGGCAAGCCACAATCTGTAGTCTTTGACAAAAACACTCCTTGAACTTTGCATGTTGCTAATGAATGCCAGAGTTATCTCCGAATATTCGCTCCTTATTATCTCTTTTGCAAAAACCGGGTTTATTGAGATACGGGCATTGTCTAATGTCTCTGGTTCAGCTTGTATGACGCTTTGTTTTAATGTTCAAATAGTATCATAAAAGTCTATACGGTTTATTTGTTCTAACATGGGGTTTCAATTCAAATGAGCTAATACGTTTAACTTCAACTGTTTAAAGTTAAACTTTAAACTATATAAATTTAGTAATAATAAAAATTAGAAAAAAATTAGAAAACACAACGGGTTTTTTTCTTCTTGAATGAATATAGTGAAATATACATATACTGTACGTATGATATTGCAATGTTCTGGATTGTGGAGCATGGCTTTTATTCACTTAATACGTATTATTAACTTATTCAATTTATATTTTACACCCCATCATCGAGTGTTACCATAAGCTACGAACCTATATTTTTTTTTGCCAACAACAATGTTTTTAGGTTTACTATATTTTCTAAATACTAGAACTATAAGATAATTTTATAAAGGTTTAGCCACACTCCAAACCTTACTCCGAAACCTACACTTAAAACAATTTTCTAACAGTTTAAAATAATAGTAAATAGGAATATTGATGGGAAAAATTCTTTATAATTTGATAAGTTAGGCCTACTTCACTGTTTAACTGTTGTAAAGAATGTTTACTGCCAAAAAATTTCAATGACTTCAATAGACTTTTATTTATTATATTTCACTTCGTGGTTGTGTTTTATCCCTGATGGATATTTTTTGTTTCGATGTCACACTTTGAAACATACAAAAAGTGGATTTAAAAAAGTGGATCAGTGGTTGTTATTCATTATCGAAACATACCACAGTGTTAAAAATGTTTCCTAGAATGTTTGATAAACTTTTACATTAAATTTATTTTGAAGGTCGCAGTTGCCCCAGAGCTGGATTCCATATGTCTAATTTGGTTTCAATGATATTTTTTTTACAACAGTGATGTGTTTTAAACCGATAATTTTTAACGATGACCAATGAGTTAATACGGTGCAAGCATGAAGCTATTTAATTTTACATTGAGGCAATTTCCTAGTTAGTAAATGTATCCTGAATGGATTTGGTTTAATTTACTTTGATTCCCAATTATTCGCTCTTGAGATAAGGTGTATAATGCAGCCTGTAAGTTTCACTGTTGGAAAGTAGGATCTTGATTTGATTCAAAAATCTGTGTATCTGCGACTGTAATATCCTGTGTTCTTGGAACTTCAAATCTACACAAATAATATTGGACCAAGAAAAGTGCATTGGAATAGTCCCGGATCAATGTTACATCCGTATATGAATCCCAAAGTACCCATAAAATTTTGAGAAAACCACAAGTCACACCCCCATATAATAAACCATATTCTTAAAATGCTCGTCATGACGAGAAATCTTGCGCAAAACTATCCATTATTTCATCAATTTCCTTTTAAAGTCGTAATTCCTTTATAAAGGGAACTTTTCATATACCTAATGTTAAAAATACCTCAGCTGTACTTCTTTCAAATTTATAACCTTATTAAAATCAGGTGTAATTATTTGTTTGTATTACTGTATTCTCTGTTGTTTATTGCAGCTTTTAGACAATCAATAGTTTTATTAATACTTATGAAGTCAAACGGGCTGAAGCCTGAGGTTAACAGCTGGTTAATATAAAAAACGTCTTGATGTAAAAAAATAAATGGGTTTGGACAAATATGATTTTAATATTCCATTGTAAGTTTGAGACTGAAAAATTTAAATATTGAGCCATAATCCAGTATGCCAGACTATAAAATGCTTGGGCTACGTCTAAAAATGCTGAACAAAAGTCTATATTCAAAACCTTCCTTGAACTTTTTTCAACATCCAATGCACTTGCTCTACGGTACCGAGGTGGCATCTAGTCCTTTTCGTCAACCTATAATCATTAATTCATAACTATTGTCTACACAGGAAGAGTTTTAAAACAATACGGTATATCCTCCAATTTTCTATACGAAGTACACCCCTTTCTCCGTCTTTGACCTCCTCCCCTGTCCTCGGTAGCATCCCCTATTTAACCCATCGCCACTGCCCAATGTCAAACCACTTTCTGATTTACATAATGACGTTATAATAGCCGCAGCACGTTTCGCGTTCAACTATTTTAATCTGCGGCGTTGTTGTCCATAATGAGTGAACGTGATAAGTCGACTCGTTAATTCCTCATCAGCCGGAGCCCGACAAGCGCTACAGTTTCAATTAAACACTTAACGCCC